TAAAACCTACAAGGCACTTAATATATTACTTTTGATAAAGATTTCATGTCTATGCAATAGAGAAATAGATATATATATAAATTCCTGAGGAGGATAGCACACTAAAAACACCTAGTTGAGGATTAATAGTGCATAAAATAAGATAAGATGCAAATAACTTAAAATAATAAAACTGCAACAATTTTTTATATATCTAAGAACATTTAATCTTTTAGAAGAGTCAACAATTGTTAAACCATAATAACTGGAAAATATTATATATATCATAAATTTTATACTCCCATAACATTCAAATTCATTACTTCCACAATCATAAATCTCCTATTTTTTAAATCAATTCATACACATATATTTAAGTCTATATCTTAAATAAATCACAAGCTTCAACGAGACCATAACACTTAAACCTTGTTTAAATCATAATCAACAGCATATTATTCCTTCCGCTAATTCCTCAATCTGTCACATGCTAGTACAGGAACATGGATTTCATGTTAGTAATACACCATGCCTAAAGACTAAACTCAACCAGATGTAACCCCAAATCTACCAAAAAATCTTGTGTGCATTAAATCTCATAAATTGGCATGAAATTTATATAGAAGAATAGATAAAAAAATGCACACAAATATATCCTCTTATAATAATGACATAATTTAATACAAATCCAGAAGTTCTTTTAAAATAAAAATTAGTTTCTTAGTTGATAAAATTTAAACTTAAGTGATAAATTTTTAGAAGATTATTTAAATAAAAAAATATTTTCAAACTGATAACATTATCATTGCATATTATAGAACTGATAAATTGCTCCTATAACTTACACTATCTACGTTATCATAGCGCAGGGCTGAAAACATTTTTTAGTGTTTGATGTTAACCCTAATAGGAATTGCATAAAAAGAAAGAAAGAGATAAAAAAAAGATGTTTAGAGTATCACACTTACCCTCATGGCTAGTTCTGGAGTTTAGAGTAAATCTAGAATTTCTTTAATTTATTTGTTATTTTCAGGTATATCACATTCTTCTATTAAATGTTTGGCTATTGAATATAATTGTTTTATTCTTAGATTTGAAGTTTCTTTTTTCTTCTTTCAGAATTATTCAGATATGTCATTCATGCACCAAGGAGCATACATTTTAGTGCGAGGGAGAAGAATTCCAATTGAATAATTAGTTTACAAATAATCAAATGATAATTTACAAATAAGTAACTGATAAATTGTTTGCACTAATAAGCTTACATTTTCAAGTGGACTCATGGGTTCGACAAGAGGGATTTCAGAAAACTATGAAGAAGGAAACTAATGTATAAGGGAATAAGAGAAAGAAGGAAGAATAAAAACCTACAACAAAAATGGCGGCTAGTGGAAAGGCAGGATTGGCGGTAGGGGAAGAATGCTTCGGCGTCGAGAGAAGCAGAGATGCAGACGCTCTTCCGAGGCGTGCGAACAAGAGAGACGGTCTTCCTAGGCGTGCGATCGGAGGGCGACGGAGTGGGGTCGGGGAATTTTCGCCTTGGGGAGTGTTCATGCGAATCAGAGGGAGAGGATCGGATATTTTTTGGGATGTTTGAAGTGTAGCGAGAATATGAGAGTTTATGCGGGATGCTTGTGGACATCCGAAGGAGCACCGCTCGTGGGGTACGAACGCAGAGGGTACGGCCGCACTATCCCTATGGGACAAAACGATCGTAGACCTCTACACTCGACACGAACAGGTTGATGGGAGGGCAGATTGGATCGTGCATGCGACTAACCATTGAGGATAGAAGCTGTCGCCAACACACCCCGATGGGTAGCAATATACACGACCTAGTCACGGGTTTTCCCCACCCGATACGAGAGATCGAGTGGGGTAAAGTAGATTGCGGGGCCAAGTTTCCCACGCGACGTCAGGCGGTGGTCCATCGGAGGTGAGTGCCTCAAGTGGTGGTCCGGCAGAGCAATGGCGTCAGGCGGTGGTTCGGCGGAGGTGAGGATCTCAAGTGGTGGTCCGGCGAACGTAAGGGCCTCAAGTGGTGGTCCAACGAAGGTCCGGTGGTGGTCCGGCGAAACTCCGATGGTGGTCGAGGAGGAGCTTCTTTCTTCTCTTCTCTTATTCTCTTCTTGCTCCGGTCCCCTCTCAAGAGAAATGAGGGGTCTATTTATAGATTTCTAGAGTGGCATGACCCGTAAATAGGTGAGAGATCAAGGGTAAATGGAGAGTGGTTGGATGGACGACCGATATTGAATCCCTTGATCATGCACCGTTCGTCAGACATTTGAAGGCGTTAATGATGTCGGAATTCAGCAACCTTGGGCTCGTTGGATTTGTCTCGTCGAGCCGCTCGATTCGACTATAAGCTCGTTAAGTTTGGAGACCGTTTGGTAATCCAAAGTGCTGTTTGAACCTTCCATTAGTGCTTCTAACCCTTGATTTGGACCCGTTTGGGCTTGGATTGAGTTGATTTTGTTGTCGTTGGGTTTGTATTTCCGAGATGCTCAGTTTGACTATAAGTTTACTGAAATCGAAGTTCGGATGGTCCCAATCTTAATTTTGGAAGTTTCCAACTTGATTTTGAGATTCGTGCCCGATCAAGATAACTTTTTGATGACATATCAAGTACTTTTTTTAATGAAACTAAGGCTTCGTTTGAGACGGTTTTCTTACTGCTTCTTAAAACAATTTTTTAGTTTAAAAATTAAAATTTTTAAACCAAAAAAACTATTTTAAAAAGCAATAAAAAAGCCGTCCCAAACAAAGCCTAAACATTCAATTTGAGGCATTTTTTTAAGATTGATTTTGATTTAGGCTTCATTTGGGACTGTTTTTTTTCCTGCTTTTCAAAGCCGCTTTCTAATACAAAAATTTTAATTTTTGTAAAAAAATTATTTTAAGAAAAAGTAAGAAAATCGGTAAAAAAAAAAGCCTATAAATATTATATTCAGTCAACTTCTTAATCACGAGGATGAGTTTAATATGATGTTTAACTTCAAGGTAAATATCATTGTTGAGAAGACTTGATCGATATTTGATTTGTTAGCATCTACTTGGCTGGTTTCATTTATTCAGATCAGACTATCATGATGCAGGTTTCCTGCAAGCCCTCCTTGATGGTCTTGCTTGTCTTGGCAACCTTGGTGGTTATTTCTTTTGTGCGGTTAAATATGGCTTATGATTGGTATTTGGGACTTCTTCCAGTTGTTTTATCTACCTCCAACAGATGATCCAAGCATGACAACTGATATTGAGTCTGATTGACTTCAGACCCCTTTTTGTTTTCTTTCATTCTGGATTATTTTTATTTTTCTGATTGCTTTGCAATATGTAGCTTACTATGATATTTTAAGCTTTGTGATTTTATATTTTGGCCTAGTTGTACGACCCCTTTTATTTATGAAATAAGGTTTGTGGTTTAAAAAAAAAAAATATAGCTCAAAATTATGGGATCGACAAGTTCTCGGTCTGATATACGTTGTGCGATTTAATTATTAGAAATTTTTAAGATCTGTGTGGTAGCAAAGGGGACTAATCATGAAGCCTAACAGCCTTGGGGGCAATGGCTCTGGTGATAGTATGAACTTTTATTATTTTTACACATATATTTATAAGTATGAAATTATAATTTTATAATTGTGTACGAACTGCCACTCTGCAGTCTCTGCTCATGTACTAGTTCTCAAAATAATAAATTCCACTTATCTTCCTATGATTTTTTACCGTAAAAAATTTTCACATAATTTTAAATATTTTTTAATTTGAGTTTTTCTCATTTATTTTTTTCAATACTATTGTTACATTTCTTTCAATAAATCATTGAATATCTATGACTATCTATGCAAGTTACGCTCAGATCGAGTAGAAGGAGAATCGTTTCCTCTCTTGAAACAGTATGTTAGAGGGACTCGCTTAATAATTAAGAATGATTTTAATACTAGAGCACGGTGAACCAGCCTCACCCACACTTTCGAGACAACCACCCTCCCCGACAGGGTTGACCTCAGAAGTTCTTTTCTCAGTCAGACAAATTTTATCATTCTTAGCCAAAATCAAGTTTCTCATGTGTGATACATTACTAGTTAAAGCTAACAACACGTATCTCCCTACAAGACATCTTACACAATCATATCAATCTCAGGATCACATCAAGGCATTACTCGCCACATCTCATCTTAACAGGGCAACTTAAGACTGATATCCTACCATGTACCAACTCAATCTTCCAATTACATAAGACACTTCTCGCCCTTCTCACCTCAATGGGGCTGACTCATACCAGCTTCCTACCAATGTTGACTCAATCCGTGAATTCATTCTACTCACATCACCTCTAACTGTGATCACCATTTCACTCAATGCAACAATTAATGTGTCGTGTACAAATTCACTATAATTTCCCGAGCCCTATAAAAGGAAGGGGAGCCATAAAAAGGGGAGACATAGATATACATAGAGAGATATATAGATCAATAATTTCCTCTATTTTCTTAAGGAATAATATATTATGTCATTCTTAGCTTAAGCTATGCAGCACATAGACTCGCTCTCATTAATCTTGTACATGTGGCTGTGATAATAAATATGTTGTCTAGATCCATATTCTCTCTCTTTTTCCGTCGTATCATACTTCATCATATTCACCCCCAGGCTCGTAGTCCACCGGTGGCTTGAAGAACAACCCAACATCATATATTAGATGAAACAAGATTGAACAATCCTATTATTGATGAGATTGTTGCAAATAATATATGACTTAGGCTTCGTTTGTGACAAATTTTTCACTATTTTTAAAGCTGTTGTAGATAAAATAATTTTTAAAACTATTATAGTAGACAATTTCCTAACATAAAAATTTATTGAAAATAATGAAAAAAATAATGATTAAATAATAATTATAATTATGATCTAGAAAATAAAACAATAAAAAATTATCATAAATAAAGTCTTAATTAAGACCTTGAATTCTAGGACTAGGTCTTAATTGCTATCTCACTTTGCTTGGACTACTAACCGTTACTGCAAGCGGGCTTTCAGACTTTCAGTGCCCGTTCCGTTCTGGAGGGTCTGATTCTATAAGCGCAAGCAGATAAGTTGCGCGCTATATCCGGTTTTTAATCCACCGCTTTTTATGATTTTTTCCAGGCAAATCTTGCCGACAAAGGGTTTTGCTTCCTATTCGTCTCCACGTACTGGAAATTCTTCGAAAATCCTTAGCCCTCAAACTCTTCTCAAGAGCTGCGTCAGTCCCTGTATTCGATCCCTTAACCTATTCCTCACCTTTCTCCTAAGAAACCGAAAGATTACTCTCCTTCTCGAGACGTTCTCTCAATTATCTTCCAATTCCGTTCAGATCGATTCTAAAACTCATTTCTTGGTCACCCACGCTCTCCTCAGATCCCGCCGCTTTGAAGAGGCACAGCAGTTCATTTCCCCCGCTGAAAAATACGATTTTGTTGTCAGAAAGAGCTTATGGGATTCTCTGATTCGCGAAGTTTGCGTCTCCGGAGGCGACCCAGAGAGGGCATTGTCTCTGTTGCACGAATGCATGCGAAATCGAGGTATTTCGCCATCTCTAAGCACTTTCCGCTTGTTGGTTCTATCATTCAGTGCTCAGGGCAGAATGGAAAGGGCAATCGAGGTGCTGGAAATTATGACTTCTGAGGAAATCGGATACCCGTTTGATAATTTTGTCTGCAGTTCGATAATTTCTGGGTTTTCTAGGATTGGGAAGTCCGACTTCGGTTTAGGGTTCTATGAGAGAGTACAAAAGAGCCGAAATTTTCAGCCTAATTTGATGACTTATACGGCTGTGGTAGATGCATTATGTAGAGAGGGAAGAATTGCTGAAGCTTCTGGTATTGTACAGAAGATGGAGAATGATGGAATAGTTTTAGATGCAGTTCTGTATAGTAGCTGGGTTTGTGGATATTTCCGTAAAGGCCTATTGATGGAAGCTTTTAGGAAGCATAAGTTGATGTCTGAAAATGGAATTTTGCCGGATGTGATCAGCTATACTTCTGTCATTGATGGCTTGTGCAAGGAAGGGTATTTAGAAAAAGTGATTGGATTACTACAATATATGGAGAAGAGCGGGTTGAAACCAAATTTGGTTACATATACGTGCATTATAAGAGGTTTCTGCAAGAGATGCAAGATTGAGGAAGCTTTATTTGTCTTCAGGAAAATGGAAGAATTGAATGTTGTTGCAGATGAGTTTGTCTATTCAGTTTTGATTGATGGTTTGTGTGCAATTGGGAAATTGGATGAAGTTTTTGAATTACTTGAAGAAATGGGCAGGAAGGGGATTAAAGCGACTACTATGACATACAATACAGTAGTCAATGGCTTGTGTAAAGCTGGAAAAACAAGCAAGGCAGATGAGATTTCAAGAAACTGTTTTGGTGATAATTTTACATATAGTACCCTGTTGCATGGTTATATGATGGAAAAGGATGCACAAGGAGTGATTGACACAAAGAGGAGATTAGAGCAGGCTGGAATTCCTTTTGATGTGGTTACAGTCAATATACTCATTAAGGCTCTCTTCATTGTCGGCATGGTTGATGATGCTCGTTATCTTTTCGAAGAAATGCCAAAGAAAGGTCTCAATGCTGATTTCCTTACTTATTGCGCAATGGTTGATGGTTATTGTAAACTTGGAATGTCTGACAGGGCACTTGAGGTCTTTATGGAGTACAGAAGAACTCTTGCATTTGTAAATGATGTATGTCATATTTGTATGATAGTAGGACTCTGCAAAGAAAACAAAATAGAAATGGCAACAGAACTGTTTTTGGAACTATGTGAAAAAAATATTGTTGCAGATACTATTACTTATAGAAAGTTGATGAAGGCCCAATTTAGAGATGGTAATTGGGAGGCAGTTCTGAAATTGATCTCCAGGGTTGAAGGGTGCGGTCCTGAAATATTGACTTCCATATGCAATGATTCTGTTTCCTTCTTATGCAAGAGGGAGTGTTTCCCATCTGCATTGGAAGTTTACATCTTGATGAGATTGAAAGGTTTGACAGTTTGGAGCAAGTCATACTATATTCTCCTTAAGAGTCTCATAAATAGTGGAAATGGTTTGATTGTTGAGCTGATTTTCTGTGACTTTATAAAGGCATGCGGAGTTTTTGAGCCTAGGATGATAAACATTATCTGTCTGTACCTTTGCAAAAAGAATGTGGAAGAAGCAATTCGCTTTTTAGCTGGTTTGAGCAAAAGAAATATTTCTCTTGGTGTTCTGACGGTAGTTATCAATACTCTTAAGGAAAAGGGCAGAGTTCAAGAAGCACTTGATTTTCTTTTGGAAGTAGAAGAAAGCACTGCTTCTGCAGATGTAGTGTTATATTCTATCATTGTGGATGGACTTTGCAAGGTAGGATCTCTTGAGAAGGCTTTAGATCTTTGTTCAAACATGAGAAAGAAGGGCATCACTCCGAATATTGCTACTTACAACTCGGTGATTCATGGTCTGTGTCGTGAAGGATGTTTGGTTGAGGCATTCAGAGTTTTTGATTCTCTGGAGTGTAATGGTTTATTTCCTACAACTGTTACTTATGCTACTCTTATAGATGCTTTATCTGGAGAAGGGTTCCTTCAAGATGCAAAGCATTTGCTTGGAAGAATGGCTATTAATGGCATCTCTCCTAATATACGCATTTTCAACTCCCTGATCAATGGATATTGCAGATTTGGTCTTTTAGAGGAAGGCCTGCAACTATTCAAAGATTTGGCAGGGTACTCCTTGGAACCAGATGGCCTAACTATCAGTTCTATCATATATGGCTACTGTACCAAAGGTGAGATGCAAGGTGGCCTGAATTTCTACAATGCGTACAGAGAAAAAGGATACTCACCTAATTTGTTGGGTTTCCTAAATTTGATCAAAGGACTTTATACTAAGGGGAGAATGGAGGAAGCAAGAAACATTATCAGAGATTTGTTGCAAAATGGAGAAGCTGTAGAGCTCATAAATAAAGCCAGAGATGGATTGAATTTTGAATCTTTAGCAACTTCTATTAAGCTTGCGTGTGAAGAAGGACGACTTCAAGAAGTAATTAATATTTTAACTGATGTAGGTTCCAAGTTTTTCACCTCATTATGGTCTAAAAACAACAATAGCATTAAGAATGTTGGAAAGCAGCATGCGGAAGATTTCCGTACAGGTTCTGAGAGAAAAGTTTATGCAAGTAGAGGCCTAATGAAGCCAGCAGTTCCTAGAAACACTTTGCAGTTTGGAGATGATGGCATTATAGAAAGAAAACATGGGTTGTGCATGAACAAGACTACCAATTCTGTCTTGAATGAGTATAACTTTTTGTGTCAGAACTCCCTCAAGTACGACTTTGAGACTTTCTACTCCATTATTGCAACACTCTGTTCAAAGGGTGAGTTGCAAAAAGCCAATGATATAGTGAAAGCAACGCTCAGTGTTTAGGAAAAAAAGCATTGATTTAGCTCTTTTGTAACTTGCTTCACGGAGCTAATGAATGTCAACTGCATTTGATTCTATATAGGTAAGTAAACAATTCCATCTTTATTTTCTGTGTTTCCATAGGACTCTCTTATTACTGCATTTATTTTTGCATGCTCCTTCATTTGGCTCCTTGATGTCAAAACATGGGCATTGGAACATGCATATGACAAAGACATCAAGTCTCCCTATTCTTTCAAAATATAAAAAAAGACAGACGCGGGCTCCGAAATTTTTTGTCCTCGGCCTTTCCTCATATATACTCGAGCATAGTCTTAACTTTTTATGATTTAAATTTTGGGGGAATTTTCGAAAGGCAGATTGGTTAGAGATAAGACACTACCTAGATATTTCGGCCTCATTAGTAAGAACTTAGATTTGAGTTCATATTTCCCATAGGTATAAACCCCTATAATTAATTACCCTATCCGGTTGTGAGAGAATGTTTTCGATTAAAGCTAATCATTAAATATACACTTAGTGCCTGATATATAGTAGCAATAGATTTCATCTTAGGTTGTTATGATTTTTAATCTCTTTAGTCAGAGGAGGTAGTTGACCCTATATGACTGAAGAATTCTTTTCGACAATCATGATCTGTTTTATACAATGATACCTCATAGACTTGGTTATGTAGATTTACATGCATAGGAAAATGTATTAATTTTGAAATTAAATGCTTTATGACGGAGCAATAACAATTATTCAACTTCCTACGGATTAAACAATAGATTGAAAACAATAAAGCAATGATTAGACGTAGGCAATTGATTACAAGACAAAATTTGGAGCACAAAATAATCAAAGTAAATCCAACTTTGCTTAATGTGGGGGTTTCAAAAGAAATCCCTTAATTAACAATAAGACTAATAACTATTAAGATCCCTCACACATACTTTACATAACGGCTAAGCGGAGAAGTTTTCATAACTTTTAATGATGCAACAATTGAGGAGAGGTTAGAAGGAGAAAGGGTCGGAAGAGAGTTCACCTTTGTCAAGTTTCTAATCTTGATGTAGAACTCCGTCAAGCTTATGAACTTGTGCTCCGATGTTTTTCCGGATCGGGGCGATGTTCATCTATGATTTGCCTAGGAGCAAACACTCCTTGTCGTCGTGGAAGGGTTGCAATGCCCGAGGAGTTTGAATGTAGTTGTTTAGGGAGGAGCATCTACTTCTTCCTCCTTAGGTGAAATATCAAGCATAAGAGAATAATTATATAAAGAAGGTGGTGAGGCTAAGTGGCTGGCCTTACAGGAGAGAGTGGGGAAATTAAGTCCAGATTTTGTGTGTTGATTAAGGGAAACAAATTCAAAATCTGAAATTTAATTCCAGCTTTAATTGGTGGAGATGAATGGGAAATTTGAATTTGAATTTCGCAATCAAAGAGGGAAAGGAGGAAGGGAAGGGGCGACTCATTGATGATGAAATTGGATAGGATCCCAAAGGGGAAATGGATTAATTTAGGAGAGAGGGGAGGGGGCGGCAATGGTTAAGGAAAGGATTTAATTAGAGGAGTTAAGGGTTGCTAGATTTGGAATTTTAAAATAGGAAAGTATATTTAAATTAACTCCTATTTAAAATTCAAATTAGCATGATGTGAGGGGCTTTCCCAAAATGTCTCCTCATTTAGGAAATAAATTTCAAGTTCAAATTCATTGGAATCTGAATTCAAATAACTTCCAAATTTAAAAGGAGTTAAATTTGGAAAGTATTTGAGTGCTAGCTAGGTTTGGAAATTTTGAATCCCATGGGAGGGATGAAGGGGCTGGCGGTTGGCAAGGAAGTTGGGTGGTCGGCGGGTGTATGGAGTGGGTTTGGGATTGGGTGTGAAGTTTGGCTAAGGGAGGGAGGGAGGAGAGGGGATCGGCTAGGGTTTGGGTTTCGAGGGGGTTTCGACCATGGTATCAGGGGAAGATGGGGTGGCGGCTAGGAGGAGGAAGGAGAATAAATTGGTGGAGGGCGAGGACCACAAGCCCGGACGCTTCCTACGGCTGATGGATAATACGTTACCCTCACCTAGGGATTTTAACTCTCTTAAGAACTCTCAAACTCACAACACAACGTGCATAATTTTTTTCTCATAATAATCATCATCCTCCAAAGAGTAGAAGGGGGCGATAAATAGCCAAAATATAATAACAACTCTAAAGACGAAAGTGCCCCTAGGGTCACATGAACATACTCCCTCAAGTGAGGGTAAAATAAAAAAAATGAATAAATAAATCAAATACAAATAATAACTGAAAATTAAAGTGGTCTAATCTTGGTCGCAGATCTTCGGCCTCTTCTCTGATAAACTTTCCACGGTCGAATGTCTTCATCACTTGGGGTAAATGTCTGTCAAATGACCAAATTTAAGTCAGCCTTAGCTAACAGATAGAGGGTAGAAATTAAGTTTATCATTTGATTTATTACTCAAGGGTGATAGCCATTAGGAAATATACGGGCTTTGGATTTAACCGTAATGTAGTGGAGCCGCAAGGCCAAACTATTCAATTAGAGGACCTCAATCATAATTGTTTTCCATGTAGATCCGTTGAACCAAACCATTGATTTTGTGAAGGCATTGAGCTAAACAATCGGTAAGAGGATATATGTGACATCCTTATTGGTATTACTTGAGAATTAATCTTAGTAATATTCTTGACTAGACATTTACTATTTGTGAGATGAAGTTATTCTTGAATTCATCGCACTCGCCAAATAGTTGCGAAGGGTGGATAAAGTTTACTTTAATTTATAAGATGATTAAATTTTATTTTAAAACATTTGAATCTTGATAGGCATTGAATTTTAAAATTTGGATAGTCCCTCCGGTTGATATTTACTTTCAACCAAGGTTGTGAAAACCTGATCAGACAACTAACCGGAAGAAAGAGATGGTTCGATCAGTCAAACTGAGGTCGAACCTAATGACGTAAAATTAATAATATTATTAAAAATTAATAAAATTAATATAATAATTATGACAATATAACCTTAAATCTTATAATTCTATCAATTTAAACTTTGTACTTTTCAACAAATTTTTCACATATTATCTCTCACTATAATTAAATTATTAAATAATTAAATTAAATTGAAATGATGTATATAATTATATAATATAATTAAAGTATTAGACATATAGTTTAGTTACATTATATTTATGAATATATAATAAATTAATTATAATTAAAATTTACATTTAATTATAGTGGTAATAAATGAGATTCTTATAATATATATTATAATAAATTAAAAATTTTAATATAATATATAAATTTATAATATTAAATTTAAAAATGTGTAATAAGAATAATATTTAATATAATATATAAATTTATATAATTAATTTATAAATATACATCATAACAAATTTATAATACAAAATTTAAAAAATTTTGCACCCAACTAGCCCAAATTCGTGGTCCAACCAGCCCAAATTTGTGGCCCAACAAACTCAATTTAATGGCCCAATAAAGCCCAAGCTTTGGATTGGACATCTGAACGGTTCATGAATAATCGGCCGGTCCGGTCCGGTCCGGTCCAGTCCAATTTTAAAAAATATCTTTTCAATACGGTTATCATCAAGGTGACGTCAAAGTCACTTTGAATATATTTGTATTTTATTAGAATTCGGAGGTATTAAGAGATAGAGTTACTTTCGGTTGTGATTAACTTTCAACGCAGTCATCATTTGGGTTGTTTGAGTATTTCCATTTTTGTCACTTAAAACTTATCAACTCGATCCACTTGATGGTAGATGATCATGTTCAATTTGAGTTCAAATTATATTTTTATAATTAATTCCTCTCTAATAAATATTCAATTTCAACACAACCATCATTGATCGTCGATTTTTTATCCGATCCAGTGGACCTCAAAGGACGAGTGTCCTCCCCAACGTCCCCTCACGAGAAGGGGGCGTCAAAAGGCTGCCAAAATATTGGAAAAATACTAAAATACCACAAGCATTGAATTAGAGGACTCGAATACTAATATCGGGGTCGATTCGCTCCCCCGAACCCTTGACAGTCGATTTTATCCGTACGAGCAGAGCTAAAAGGGCAAATGTCCTCCCCTACCTCCCCTCTTGGGGAGGGGATATAGGGAGGCTATCGAAATTGCCCGGAAAAGCTATCAAATTTGCCTCGAGAACTTGCCAAACTTCGAGGAATTATTGAAGAATAATTTATTTATTTTATTAATGTAAATACAATTTTTTTATTTTTTAATAAATCAATTATTTTAAATTAAATTAATTTAAAGTTAAAACAGTCATTTAAATTAATTGATTAATAAATTTGAAATCAAATTAAATAATTTAAAATTAATCAAATTTAACCAGAATTTAAAATCTAATTTAAAAAATTAATCAAAACTTTAATTAATTTACAAATTATTTAAAATTAAAATTTTGATTAATGAACCAATTAAATTTAAATCTTAATTTAAAATTAATCTAAGCTTTCATGATTGATTAACTAATTTAAAAAATAAAATCAAATTTAAATTCATATTTTTAATCAATTTAAAATTTAATAAAATCAAAATTTTAATTTATTAATATCCTTAAAATTAATCAAATTAATTAAGCAACCAAATTTTAAATTTAATTGATAATTAAATTATATTAATTGAATTATTTTAAAATATATTCAACTTAATGAGCCGAACAATTAATTTTAATTTAACATTTTAAATTTTAAACCAAGTAAATTAACAAAGAAATTAAAAAATGCACGTAGAAAAACATTGAGAGGAGAGCCGCTCTGGTGAATTTTGCTTTTTTTATTAAAATAAAAAAACACAAAAAATCAATATTCACACTAAATAATTTTAGTACAACCCACACCAACTAACACCAAACTCTTAAACTAAAAAAAAAACATTAAAATTGAAAGAAAAGCTCCAAAAATCCTAACCTAAACCCCTCCAACTTCTGGCCAGCTCCAGCTCCTGGCTAGCTTTTGCTCCTAGTAAACCCTGCAGTTGTGGGCTCCAGCTTCTGCAACTGCTAGTCAAATATATCTACAAACAAGTAGATTAAAGGCAGCAAAGGATAAACAAAACTAGTACTAAAATAGAACATGTATTAAAATAAAAGTAGTATTGAAAAGAACAAATAAGTAGGTAAAGCTACTACTACATGCAAAATTAGTGCTGAAAGAAAAACTAGAACTATAGACAAAACAAAGAGCTAGAAACAAGGTACTGAAGCTAAAGCAACGGTACTAAAGCAAAAGTTAAGCTATCAAAGTAGAAAAGTTACAAGCAAAACCATAATAAACTACTGAAAGCTTGAGAAGAAAGCACTGGTGTCAAAGCAATGAAGGTTGCAAAGCTAAATGTTTGTTGCTAGAACCCCGCTAACCTAAAGTTCAACCCGGCAACTTCTAGTAGGGATCGTAAGTCTGACTTTAGTTAATGCGTTAGGGGAAACCTCTTGGTAAAAATAACCTAACCCTAAATCCCTGATAACCCAGGCCACCTCTAATAGAGGCCTTAAGTCTCACTTTAATTAGACTGTTAGGGAAAACTTTCCCATAACAATTAACTTATCCTTGATAACCTTGGCAACCTCTTATAGAGGTCGTAAGATCTGTTATACGGCTACTTCTAATAGAAGAGGTAAGACCCACACATTAAGGGAAGTTTCTAGATAAAAGAAACCTAACCCTAAATCCCAATTACGGGCTCTTTTCAATGAAAATGGTAAGACCAACTTCTCAAACGCACGGGCTACTTTCAAGGGAAGCTGTAAGAACTGCTATAGCTACTTTCAATGAAAGTAGTCATACCCAACCTTTTAAACCCTACGGGTTACTTCTATTAGAGGCATTAAGATTCACTTCTCAAAATTTCTTGAAACCTACAGGTCACTTCTAAGTGTAGTCGTAAGACCTGCTATACGGGCTACTTCCAAGGGAAGTCGTAATACCTGCCACACGACTACTTTTAATAAAAGCAAAAGCCCCGACTCCAAATCTAAATAAAAAAATTGGGTAACTTCTAAATGAAGTCATAAATCCCAAATTAAATTAAATAATTGGCATTTTAACAGATGTAAACCCCAAATCATAATAAAGTTAAATCTACACTTATCCATTTCAGTTTTCCTGGGATCCCTGAAAAGAGGTAACCCATGCCTACTAATCAGATTCTCTGGACACTATGATCAATGATCGTTAGTGTTGGTAGAGTGAAACCTATGGTATTCTCAGGATGAAGAAACCATGAGATCTTAATCGGGTCTGCCTTCATCTCCCACAACCAAAATTTAAAACTGTTGCACGTCTAAACATTGATTCATCCTTAATCGAGAGTTCTCTTCTACGCATTAGGATAGATAATTAACTATGAGGACTTGCACTCATAGGAAGTGGAATCCCAAAATTAATTAAACCCTGATGCTGATCATCGGGGAAAAATTGGTTAATTTAAATTATAATCTACCTCATGGAAAAACGGGACCTTTAAAACTTGCAAAAGAGGGATTCATGCCATAGTGCCATCTTTTTCTGAGCGAACACATGTTTATATTAGTAATATAATGGGTATCGTTGTTCCTTGACATTTGTGCTCAGAATTTTAATAATATTTCATTTTCTTTGTATGAAAGATCATTTAACAATATAAATAGAATCTGCATTGCATTGCGGATAACTTGTCTTAGTAATCATCCAAGCCGGCAAGCCTGATGGTATGGGTTCATATGATTTTGAACTCTGTAAATCCATCATGGAATATGCAGAATTCCAGAATAAATTGAACTCCCCTCGGATTCCTTATATCATATACCAAGTGTAAGCTTTTTTATGTATAAGAACTATTCCTTTATCAATGACCAGTGTTATACCTCATACTTACTTACCTTAATGAACCAAATGTGCTAGTAAAGCAATATTTCACTAAGAAACTCTTCAGGTGAGGTTTAATTCATTGACCAGTATTAAACTTCGTCTTTGCTAGAAACTGACACACAACACTACTGAACTGGATGCAACAATTGGGAGTCGCCAAAGATTGCTGGGTGTGGATTATTGGATTCTATTATTCATCAGGTAATTACTGTTTTGTTGTGGGATAAGTTGATTCCTTTATTTGTTATGTCCAGTCTCTACCCTGATTTTTGTGTATTATTGAGTATATGTAATACATCATATGATATATATATATATACTAGTTGCATTGCACGTGCACAAAAAAATAAGAAGTTTACATTATTGTATGAAAAAAATTAGTAAAATTTATGCCGGCCAAATTAATAGTGACAAAAAATATAAAATTTTAAATGTTAAATTTATCGATCCAATTAATGAGATAGATTTATCAACTAAGACTTAGAGGCTTATTGATACTATATTCCATGATTTTAAAACAAGGATAAATAATATTAATTAATAATATAACAAATCAAATTTTTATAGCATAAAGAATAAAAAATATATAAAATAATACTTAGAGGTTTGTTGAAAATAAATGATTCATTTATTGTTGCATGACATATAAAAATTTATCATTGCGATTTCAAATTCATTAGAATAAAATATGTGCAATAAAATTATAATTATTTGTTAAAATAAATTAAATACATGTAGTTTTGATTGCATGTGCAATAAGTAAATGTGAATAAAAATTATAAAATAAAAGGATATGAAAATATTTTTCATAGGATATTAAATTATACCTAATTTTATATTTTTTTAAATGAGCTCAATTTAAAAAAAAAATCATTCCAAATTATTATAAAAAATATTAAGAAAATTCAAAAACTTATAAAGATGAAATATTAAAAAAATAAATTTTATACCCTAAAATTAATGTTTAAGAATTACTGCAATTTATATGTAGGATATTTAATATGATTATTTTCCTAATTTTATTACACATGCATTAAATGTACATGAATAAAAATTTAAAAATAAAAATTCATATTTGAAATATTTTAATTATATTATCATTTTAAAAAGAAAAAAATATTAAGTTTATAATTTTTTATTGGATAAAACACACATAGGAACCTACATGTTAATAAAATATGATTTTGCTAATAAAAAATAACAAGAAAAGAACTCATTTAGGGGTTTAATTTAAAAAGTTCTTTTAGTCGCTTGTATAAATAAATATATAAAGAAAAAATAAAGTTGAAAACAATTAAAAAAACATAGTAGAAAATAAATTACATTCAAAATTTTCATAATAATAATAATAAGGAAAATATCATAGTGAATAATAACGTCATAGATAATCTTTCATAATTATAATATAATATAATTATATTAATCTGAATACAAACTCAAAGATGATTAAGCAGACAATTTTCTTTCATTAAAATGGAGATAATATGTTGTGATTTGAGAAGAATTCACATCCAACAAGCCCTAAAGCTTTGAAAAATTCACATCCAACAAGCCTCATGCTTTGAGAAGAAACAAAAAATCAATGAAAATTATTATTATTATTAACATATCTTATGTACGCATTATTTATAATCATGAAATCCCTCATCCAAATAATAAATATATCATAATAAAATTGACAAACTGAAATGCTTGCGAAAGATCTGCACATGGAGAAGACCCATGATATCAAGATAAAAAATATATCTTAACAACATCGACAAGAACTGTTTAATAAAATTTTATTAAGTTAAGGCTTCCTAAGCCAGTTAGTCAAGAGGAAGTGATTGGAGATTCACAACTGCAAGCATGCCAATTTATCAATGTGAGGATTATTCATTCTGAGTTTGTAACGATAGTCTCTCAGAGATTTGGGACTTCTATATTTCGAGTTTTTTCAAGATTAATGTCATGCGTGGCTGTGAACCACTAAAGTTCTATTGCCAGGCACCTCAAATAAGCATCATCTTATTCCTCCAATTTGTTTATGAATAAAGCAACAAAAGCATAGGAATAGAGATATTAGTAAAACAAAATGATGATTAGCAAATGAATCATGAAATTTAACAAAATTAACTAACTCCAAAGATGTTTACTGTTTTCTTGAAAATCTGAATAGTTATATTCAAGGGTTATTATAAATGCTTTCAGCATATTTTTTGTGGATGTGCATTGTTAAGTTTTATTCAATTAAAAATATTAGTTTTAATAATACAATACTGTCATTTATCAAGGATAAAACAAATATATAAATGTACATTAGAAGAATAAGAGTATATTTTCAAGATAAATATCCATTATAATCAAGGATAACATAAAAATATATAAATATTTATTACACGAACAACCCAACTGGATAAGTTAAGTAGGAAGAGATTTATAACTTCTATTTTCAATTTAGTTAGCAAAATAAGTAATACAACATAACATAAGACATAAAGCTTATGTCCTCCACTTTTTATTATCCAGATGAATGATTGTGGATTCTCTTTTACTCATCATATGTAAGGTGAAATCATCAAAACGTAACTTTTCTGTGTCACAAAACACAATCCATGTTAGGAGAGATGCATAGAAGAACATGCATGACAATACAACCAAGACGATAATGACATTTATATAAGGATCTATTCACAAAAATATAAGCAAGAAAGTGATAATCATTGTGCATATATACATAGCGGGAGAGTATTTGATGGGGACATCAGCTCGTGGAAGGTTTATCAGAGGCGTGACCGCCGATCTACGGCCACGATTGAGTCTTTGTATTTCTGAGTCATTTATGTTATTTTATTATTCACATATTTTCTATTTTTCTTAGTGTCATTATGTTTTTCCGTTTGTACCCCTTTAATGAGAATTGTCGTATGTGAGCCCAAAGGGCAAGTTGGTCTTTTATTTTCTTGAGCCCATTGTACTTGGCTATATATAGCCCCTTGTCTGATCTTTGAGGTTAATGAATGATTGCTTATGAATATTTTTTCTTGGATGAGTTTGAGAGAGCTTGAGAGTTCTAATGGAGAGAGATCCCTAGGAGATGGAGATTTGCGCAACACCCACCAACCTAGATAAGTCGGGTTCGTGGTTTCTTTCGTTTATCTCGTTTTCTTTTCTTCCTTCTCCTTTCCACCCTCACTTAGCTATCGAATTCCACCACACCTGAATCCCCTTCCCCTTCCTCCTAACCCCACGGCCAAATTAAAGCCCCAACCCGAACCCATACCGCCGGCTCCAGCTATCTAGCCGCCGGCCCCCACTCCCTCTTTCCCATTAAGTTTCATTGCCTAATTGGGATTGGATATTTTGGGACATATTTTTGAATTCAAATTTGTTCAATTTGCAATTTAAAATCTTTCCTAAAATACCAAATCTATTTTAGAAAAGTTCATAAATTAAACCTATTTGAATTTTAAATTTGAATTGTGTTTAATTTAAACTTTCCCTCTTTACTAAACCCAATTAGGAAGCCATCAATTCCTCCCACTAATTACTCCCCCTCTCCTTAATGCCGCTGCACCCCCCTCCCTTTTGCTTGGATTAGGAATTATTTCCTAAATCACCACCTTTGCTTTAGGAAACTATTTCAAATCCCCTTGATCTATGCTTGCCAAATTTTCCTAAAAGCCTCACATTATTAAATTATTTCCTAAACCAAATATTGAAATTAGGAAATAAATCTCCATCCCTATCCCCCCTTAATGCCGCCGGCCTCCCTTCTCCCTAACCGCCTCTCTCTCTCTCAAATCTCATCTCTCCCTCTTTAATACCCCAAGTAAATTGATGCCTCAATTTCTCCTTCCAATTCCCCTACCTCCTAAGCATAGAAATATGAAAATTTCTCTCAGATTTAGGCTCCAAAATCTGAAACTTTTTTCATATTTTTGAAAAGGGGACTTAGGAATTATCCTCCCTCCACCTGCAAGAGAAACTCTTTTCTCTTTGCTACCACTCAAGAGGCATATCAAATACTAAGGAGATCTTGTCTTCCACCACCCATGAATGACGGATCCGGAGACTGAATATGGATTAACGTGGGACTAGGACGGCTTCACTGACATCCTACAATCCATCTTCTTCGACGTTAATCCAAGGATTGATCACACCATCGAGGACTGCATCGAACGCATTCTGGACACCCTAGTGGAAGCGATCGACGATCACTTCGAAGGCATCGAGTGGAGGATCTCCACTACCCCGTGAGGAAAGGTTCTCTTTTCTCCTGTCATTATATTTCTTAAGTCTAACTTCTCTTGATTTTGACTCCAGTCATGACAACAACTTTTACTGCTCTTACTAAAGCTTAATAAACGTAAGGTTTGAGTGCGCTTCTATGCCTATTAATTCTTATTGTTAGATTAAGGATTTCTTTGAAACTACTACTTGTCATTGTGTTATTTTTCTAAATCTATTTTGACGGCTTCAAATATCTTGCTATGCAATTTGGCCTAAACGGGTGACCCCTCATATGTTTTGATTTGTCTTTTTAAACTGCTATGAATTTTGTTCTATAATTATTGCAATCAAGAGTTGTGCAAAATCTAAATGAACGAAAGCATTTCATACTTAGTACTGCATCAGTATTCTACTGTGAGGGAAGCCAAATGACCATTGATTTTAGTTTAATAATTTTAAAAAATATAAATATATATTCTATATAATAAATACATAAATTAAAGTTCCCTCCGATTTGGATGAATTGAGTTCGACTTTCCTCACCCTCGGTAATAAATTTTTATTTCCTTCTTTACGTCTTTTCCACATAGAATATGACGCTTATTCTTTAAATCCAAAGGTAGAATATGACACTTAATCTTCCAAATGCTTATTCTTTAACTGTCCAGTTTCTCATTCATTTCATTTGTGTCTTTATATCCACACTTAAAATCTCTTCTTTATTGAATTAAACGCTTCTTCTTTTTAACTGTACTATTTTACATCTCTTCAAATCCCAGCCGCTCATTCAATAAATTTCGAATGAAGTTGTAGCTTCTTCCTGCATTTCGATTTTCTTCAATGAAGAGGTTTAAGATGACACCATTAACTGCATTCATATTAGAGGTTTGACAGCGCAGTTGGTAAGTTCCTTCCTCCTAAATCTCTGATTACCAGTTCCTCTATTTGACACCATTAGTCGCATTCAATTTTACTAGAATTGTGAACATTTTTTTTTTGCTGCTATAGATGTCTTTTTTCTTTTTTGGGTTTTCTTCACTTCTTTAAGCAAGAGAAATGAAAGGGAAAAAAAAAAAGAAGGCCGAGAGCTTTCCATTTTTCATTCTTTTAATATCTGGTAGAGAAAATCTAGAAATCTTTTCAGGTACTCAACCATTCTCTAATCTCTTTATGCAATTATCTTCTAAAGACTTCAATTTTGAAGAAATAGAATATCTACTACATTCATTTAATATAGCTTTTTTGTGTATTAATTAAGTTTGCTCATTTGATAATTAAAATGAATGTAAATCTTCCATCAAACAAATTATAGAATGCTCCCAGGTTGATTAAAATATATATTAATGATATCAATTTTATTTATGAAAAAGTTAATTGTCAAGTCCAAATACATTATGCTCATATTATTTTCATGAATAAGGTGATCGGCAAAGCTCACAATAGAATACTCTCCCGCTATGTATATATGCACAATGATTATCACTTTCTTGCTTATATTTTTGTGAATAGATTCTGATATAAATGTCATTATGTTCTTGGTTGTATTGTCATGCATGTTCTTTTATACATCTCTCCTAACATGAATTGTATTTTGTGACATAGAAAAGTTACGTTTTGATGATTTCACTTTACATATGTGAGTAAAAGAGAATCCATCATCATTCATTGTATAATAAAAAGTGGAGAACATAAGCTTTATGCCTTATGCTATGTTGTATTACTTTTTTTGCTAACTAGATGAAAAATAGAAGTTATAAATCTCTTCATTAACTTATGCAGTTGGGTTGTTCGTGTAATAAACATTTATATTTTTTTATGTTATCCTTGATTATAATGGATATTTATCTTGAAAATGCACTCTTATTCTTCTAATGTACATTTTTATATATATTTGTTTTATCTTTGATAAATGATAGTATTGTTTTAATTTGGATAAAACTTAATAATGCACATCCACAAAAATATGTGGAAAACACTTATGATAACTCTTGAATATAACTATTCAGATTTTTAAGCAAATAGTAAACATCTTTGGAGTTAGTTAATTTTGTCAAATTTCATGCTTCATTTGCTAATCATGATTACTTAAAACTACTTTTTTTTTCTACTAATTTTTTTACTAATATCTCCATTCCTATGCTTTGGTTGCTTTGTTTCATAAATAAATTGGAAGAATAAGATGATGCTCATTTGGGGTGTCTGACAATAGAATCTTTAGTGGTTCATAGCAACGCATGTCATTAATTTTGAATTTTTTTAAAAAAAAAAACTTGAAATATAGAAGTCTCAAATCTCTGAGAGACTGTCATTACAAACTCAGAATGAATACTCTCACCTTGATAAATTGGCTTGCTTATAGGGTTGAATCTCTAGTTTCTTCCTCTTGACTAACTGACTTAGGAAGCCTTAACTTAATGAAATTTTATAAAATAGTTCTTGTCGATGCTTTTAATATATTCTTTTTATCTTGATATCATGGGTCTTCTACATGTGCAAGTCTTTAGTATGTATTTCAGTTTGCCAATTTTATTGTGATATATTTGTTATTTTGAAGAGGGATTTCATGATTACAAATAATGTGTACATAAGATATGTTAATAATAATAATAAATTTCATTGAATTTTTTGTTTCTTCTCAAAGCTTGAGGGCTTGTTGGATGTGAATCTTTCAAATTAGGTACACAAGATGACTACCCAAAGTTTGAGATTTGAAGTAGTTTGGCTCTGAGCCTTCAATCAGTTGAATCCAAAATAACTATATTTATTCTTCTTCTTGTCAGATTAAACACATGGTCAAGAAACATGTGATTGGAGGTTACTTGATTGCTTAGCATGCAGATAAACTTCATAGTGATATTAGTTTTTTTTTCACATGGGTTTTATTTGATTTTGTTTTTCAGTGATATTAATATCATGAGTTATGAAAGTTTAGATATAAAAAAAAATCACAACATATTATTTTCATTTTAATGAAAGAAAATTGTGTCCGCTTAATCATCTTTGAATTTGTATTCAGATTAATATAATTATATTATATTAAAATTATGAAAGATCATCTATGATGTTATTATTCACTATGATTATTTTCCTTATTATTATTATGAAAATTTTGAATGTGATTTATTTTTTACTATGTTTTTTTTAATTATTTTCTACTTTATTTTTTTCTTTATATTTTTATTTATGCAAGCGGCCAAAAGAACTTTTTAAATTAAAGCCATAAGTGAGTTTTTTTCTTGCTATTTTTTATTAGCAAAATCATATTTCATTGACATGTAGGCCCCTATGTGTGTTTTATCCATAAAACAAATTATAAACTTCATATTTTTTTAAAATGATAATATAATTAAAATATTCTAAATATGAATTTTTATTTTTAAATTTTTATTCATGTGCATTTAATGCATGTGTAATAAAATTAGGGCAATAATCATATTACATCTCCTACATATAAATTGCAGTAATTCTTAAACATTAATTTTAGGGTATAATATTTATTTTTTAATATTTGATCTTTCTATGTATTTGAATTTTCTTAATTTTTTTTATAATAATTTGAAATGAAAAGTTTTTAAATTGAGCTCATTTAAAAAAATATAGAATTTGGTAGAATTTATTATCCTATGAAAAATATTTTCATATTCTTACATTTTTAATTTTTATTCACATTTATTTATTGCACATGCAATCAAAATTATTTGTATTTAATTTATTTTAACAAATAATTATAATTTCATTGCACATATTTTATTCTAATGAATTTGAAATTTCAATGATAAATTTTTACATGTCATGCAACAATAAATGAATTATTTTCTACAAACATCTAAGTGTTATTTTATATATTTTTTATTCTTTATGCATGCTATAAAAATTTAATTTATTATATTATTAATTAATATTATTAATCCTTGTTTTGAAATCATGGAATATAGTTTCAATAAGCCTCTAAGTCTTATTTGACAAATCTATCTCATTAGTTGGATCGATAAATTTAACATTTAAAATTTTTATATTTTTTGTCACTATTAATTTGGCCCGCATAAATTTTATTATTATTTTTTTCAAACAACAATGTAAACTACTTATTTTTTAAAATTCTAGCAACGTTTTGTACACGTGCAATACAACTAGTATATAGAAATTCAACCTATGACCATAATCCATACACGTATTCCCTTCATATCGGTCATGCTATTTAGCAGCACTTTTATGCACCATTGCCTTCTTACCATACTTAGAAAAACACATGATATAACTTTGATAAGTTTATAGATTATTTTTATAGTTTTTTTTTTTAATTGTTTAGAAGGATCAACGACTAATCAAGCAGGGTAGTTAACATAGCTTGAATTGTTCGGAGTGCCAGGTGCTAGATCTTTCCTTTTTGTTATAAATTGCAGGAAGCACTTTAGTTATAATTTCTGAACTTCAAATCGAATTTTTGAAGTATGATTATTTGTTTATTTGCTAAGATGTTTACATCTGGAATATTTATGTAATTTAAATATTTTTTCATATGCAGCTGCAAAATCTTTTTTATACATCAATTAAGAGAGATTAGTTTCTAGCCTTTTTAGTGGATGAGATCGCAATGGCAAATTCATTGGCTCTATATTTGTGGAGTTAATAATGCAGGCAATTGTGTTGACTATAGTCAAGGGAGGACTACAACCTAATCTACCCAACATAAATTTTTCGCCAAAAAGATAAAAAGAGATGATACTTCTTGATGATAATTAGGGTTTTTTTTATCCTAGGGAATTGAAGAGTTTCAGCCAACCCATGTTGATAGAAAATTGGTGAAATTAGAATCAAGCATTTAAAAGGTTGCAATTAGATTTAGGCTTTGTTTGAGACAGCTTTTTACCACTATTTTTTTACAAATTTCAAACAATTTTTATACTTAAAAACTGCTTTAGAAAACAGTAAAAAAACTGTCCCAAGTGAAGTCTTAGAGATTACCCAATTCATAAGAACATCTATGATATGGTTTAGATGATATTGGGTGTTATGTTATTTATAGCAATGTATGCAAATTCATAAATAATAGTTAGGGTTTTTGCAATGATTTTTATAGCAAAGGTAAATCTTAATAATAAGGTTTTTTTTTCTAATCATGAATACTTGTGCATTTAATTAATTTGATAATTTTATACTATTGACAAAGAATAGTTTGTATGTTAGCTTTCTTTCAATTAATAAAGCAAGACAATGTTAAATCTAGAATTTTTATGCTTTGTTTCAAAAGAGTTAGGGATACAGCATAATATTTCTTAATAAGTTAAAGGTATGGTTTATGAAGGTTTCATTTAAGGATTAAGGAATGTTTTGAAAATTTCTTAACAATTTAAATAAAATAGATATAAGTAACTTCTACAATTATTTACTCAAATATCTTTGTTTATTGGTTATTAGTTATACATAGAGTCATATAATGACATGTATTAGTGGCGAATCAATGGAACTAATTTTTTATTTTAAAAATGATTGAGTTAGAAAAGTAAATAGAAATAAAATTTAATAGGATTTTATGTGACCATATTGTAGGTATCTTATTCTGAATTTAGTTTAGGTTTATAGGAATAAATCTTTAAAAAGACTAGAAATAGATTGAAGAATAGTGGTTGCACATCTCAATGTGGGTAATTACATTTCTATTTTATGGCAATGGATTTTATTCTTCAAAATTATATGCATTGATTTTTATGACTCATTTTATGCATTGAATGTAGTTATTATTAATACTATATCATTATTGAAAATTGTCTCAATTGAGTTTCTCTTTCTCATGCAAGTAATTCTCATTTTGATGCAAATGTTACTTAGCACTTCATTGACTTCAAACTCCTATGAATATTTCATGAAATGCATTTAAAAGTTATTATTTGAAGTAAATATGTGTAGAGAAAAGTGCAAGACAAATGTTATATGAATGAATGAATGTGCATTTTGACAGATAAAGTTCACTCCCTTTTGGTATTAGTATGAATGCTAATGTATCTGTGTATATTGATAATTTTGTCTTTTACCTCAGATAATAGTGGACTTGTTCTACACCCTGTTGATCCGACAAGGAAAGTATCGACTAGGGTTGAGTTGGATTAGATGATGTTCCTGAGCAGATTTATTAGTATATAGGAAAGTATAATTTAAGATATGATAATTATAGAACAGAAGAATGTTATGACTATGTACACCACTTCTATAGTTTAAAATAATGGCTACCATACATATTGATCCTTTTCTTTTGGGTTACTATAATTTCAACTGTAATTAACCCACTATGTTATGTTCATATCTCACTATAGGTTCCAATTAATAATTTAGGATAAGATCTTGAGAACTAAATGAGTAGAAAATGACAAGTTGTGTATCATTGATGTGGAGCTTCAAGTAATAGGTTTTTAAATTTTTGAATCTTTAATTAATTATATTAAATTTGTTGTTATTCTAGAAAAGAATGAATTTTAAAATTTTAGTAACTCTTTCAATGTGTTGGGGGTTATAAGTATGAGAAATATAGTGACAATTTATAAGACGATATTTAATATTAGTAAATAAAATTTTAAAATATCATATGACCGTCTATACTTGCTTTAGTACTCTGAGCTTTGGAGCTAAGTCATGACACAACTGACCCCTTTGGAGCTAATTAAATTTTATTTTAATCACTCAATCAAAAATTAGATCACTCAAACCAAAACAATTCCTAAATCTCATTAATCTTGAACCTAGATGCTACATTGAAGCCTCCAAGCATGCCAAATGATGTTAAGCAATATCTGTCAAATATCACATGCTACAAGGCCAAGGTACATGAATTTTAGTTGCCATTTCTAACAATCAAATTATCATTAGCTCCAAATAGA